AAAAATAAAATAAATTTTTAAAAAATCAACCAATAGCAAGTGCTGGCGGGGCTGTGGAGTAAAAGGAAAACTTCTCCACTGCTCACAGGAGTGCACACTGGTGCAACCATTATAGAAATCAGTGTGGAAATTTCTCAAAAAACTAAAACTAGAGGTTCCATTTGACCCAGCTATTCCCCTTCTTGGTATCTTTCTAAAAGAATTAAAAGAATCACACCACACTAATATGTGCACACCTATGCTTATAGTGGCACAATTTATAATAGTTAAATCTTAGAAATAGCCCAAATGCCCATCAACCAATGAATGCATAAAGATGTGGTTTTTTCATAGAATGCGGTACTACTCTACCATAAAGAAGGATAAGTTTGAGACATTTCTAGGTAAATGGATGTACCTTGAGACCATACTCTTAAGTGAAATAAATTGGACACGAATGTTTAAATACCACATTGTTTCTCTGGTGTGGGAAACCAAAAGTGTAAATAATAATAACCAAAATGAATAACAGATACTGGGAAATGGGAAGAAAATGTTCAAATGAGTAGGGGAACAAGGGAGATGAGAGGGGAATAGGAAAGTAGGGACAAGGAAAAAAAGAATACGAGTAAAAATGGAAACAAAGCTTTTGTAAATGGAGAGGAGAAGAGGGGTTGAAGTGGGGAGGGGAATTGGAAAAAAGAAGCTGCAAGATATATCATGTACAGGTACAAATTCCCTACGATGAATGTTATCATTATATAAATCTAAAATGTGCCAATAAAATTTAAAAACACAAAAAAAGGAAATCATTACAAATTTGTTAAGGTCCTGGAAAAGTGAATTCATAAGCATAATTATTGGCCCTCAAACCAATGTGGTTTTCCATTACTTCTTATAGGAAAAGTATGCTTAGTTATCAAACTTTTTGGTGTTCATACACAAATCTGAAACAAATTGAGTTCAACAACCAAGGGATCATGGTATTCTTCCCCTTTACATCTACACATGCTTTTAATTTCTTATTTGGAGACAGGGTCTCTAAGTTGCCCAGGCTGGACTTGAACTTGCAAATCTCCTGCCTCAGCCTACCAGTGTGCTGGGATTTCATGCCTCAGCCACCATACCTGGCTACAAGTGCATTTTGACATAAATGAAAAATAAACTTCTACAGTATTAGTTGAAATTTAGAAGTCATTTGCTACATTAGTTTGCCTTTTAACATGAACAGTGTCACCCAGGCCGGGAGTACCATGCTATCTTGTCCTAACCCCCATACCAGTGCCCAAGTGCCTCTACCCACCTGCATTGCCTCCACTAAACGTTTTCATTTTGCTCCTGTTATAGCTGCTGGTTTGCCGGAGTGGAGGCAGAGTAGATGGCTTGGTTTCATGTTTGGACCACTGCCATGGAACATAATCCAACCAGAAATAACACAAATCAGTCACACAGCATGGCCTGTTCAAATCCCTGCTTTACACTTTACAAATATCTGTGACCTTAAGCAAGTTACTTTAGCCCCAGTTTTCTCATCTGTAAAGTGGACATAATAACACAACTTAAATCTATGGGGTTAAAGCAAAAATTCTGCGGCAGCTGGGTCTGTAATTCAGCAGTAGAACACTTGCTTAGCATGCTCCAGGCCCTGGGCTCAATCCCCAGTACAGGTTTGTTTCATTTTGTTTTGTGTTTTGCTTGGTTTGGTTTGGTTTAATCCAAGAGGTATCTGTGAAGCATGTGATAAATTTTAATAAGGATGCATGAATGCTGCTAGCAGTCACTCCTGCCCTTTGCCTTACCAGGCACTGAACCCAGGGCCTTCCACTGAGCTACAGCGCCACCCCTGGCCAGTTGCTTTTATTTTGAGAGGACATCTTGATAAATTGTCCATGCTGACCTTGAACTTCCAATCCTCCTGCCTCAGCCTCCAGAGCAGCTGAGATTACAGATATCTCCCACCTCACCCAGGCAGCTGTCTTTTTTTTTTTTTTTTTAAATCAGCCAGGCAGAATTTACTAAGCATATCAGGCTGGAAGGTGCTAAGACCTGTGAGAAACAGAGGGCATGGGAAAGACCCAATACTCAGGAATCCTGAATAGCAATGAGAAATCAATGGGCAAGCAGCACAGTAGGCCCTTATATACTGATAAGGCAGTAAGGGGAGAAAAATAAGGCTCAGAGGCTTGCTGTGGGCCCCCCAGCAAGTGTGTGTCACAGCTTGGACTGGAGTTCAGGTCTCCAGACTATCATGAGGAATAGTCACCTTCATGGGAGTTGAAGGCAAGGGGACTTCAGAGTCAGGGAACACGCATCCCCGCCCACCCTAACCCTCCCCGACTCACCAGAAACTGGGACTTGTGGGCTGCGGAGTGAGTCCCAGAGTGGCGGGGTCTGTAAAGAGTTGGAGTGGGAAACCGTTATCTTCAGCCCAAGGAGCTGCAAGCAGCACACTTGGAACACGTGGGTTCTCAAACCCAGAACCGAAGTTTCGCGGCGAACCCGAGCGGAAGCGGAGCAGCGAAACAGAGCGCGAGGGGGCGGGCAGGGGAGGTATGTGGGGAGGGCGCGACCACCGCAGGGTTGGCAGAAGAGGCGCCCACGCGCATCCACTACCCGCTGATGTTCCCGCTCACTTCGGGAAGACGTGAGCCATTGCGGAAACTAGAATAGTCTTGAGTCTGCGGGGCCTTGATGTTCCGGGAAGCCTGTTCGGCTCCCCCAACTTCCTGGTCTCGGCGTGGATCAGTAACTTAAGCCCGTCAAACTTCTCAACAAGATCAGGCAATTTCACTGTCGTCTCGGTCTCCAAGGAAACGGAGGCCACTACGGAGCGTCAGGGGGGACTAATCTCACCAGGTAAAGTGTAGCGCTTCTCCCTTCTCAGTTTGGTTTCAAATATCCGTTTGCCCTCGCCCACATTCCCAAAGAATTATATTTTTTCACTCTCTACAAACTTCCATTACTTCTTCCTTCCTCCTCTGCGCTCCTGGCTAATGATGTTGCTTTCTATTTCAGTGAAAAAAGTCGTGGAGAGTAATTAACACGTTACTTGCCTCCCTTCTCCGTATAAATGGCCTTTTTTCTCATAGATACTGGCCCAGCGACTCTTTCCATTTTCTCTCACCTCATTTTTACCCTTTGCTTCTTGTTGTCCCCATCATAGGTATACTAACATGTTTTCATTTCTTCTTCTTCAAAAAAAAAAAAAGTGAGCACTTCTCCCGCCACCCTCCCATTCCTGTTTCACTTTACAGCAAACTCCCAGAGAGTTTTGCCTGCTGCTTCCCTTTCCCCACCCCTAGACCTCTACCTACCCACTGAGGCTGCCCCTGCCCACCTCATGCAGCACTTGACACGGCAGATTACTCTTTCCTTTGGGACATTTTCTTAATTTGGTGTCCAGGAAGCCACTCTTTTTGAGTCCCCTGGGCTGCTTCTTCCTCTTCTCCGTTGACTATTGGAGTGCTCCAGGATGCAGTCTTAGCCATCTGCCTTTTTTTCTTCCTCTGTCCACTCCCTCGCCCCCACCCATACTTCTCTGCAGTCTCCTACACGGCTTTGGATGCCATGTGTACCCAGACGCTGTCCAGACTCACATCTCCAGTCCAGACCTCTCCCCTGAATTTCAGCCACAGGTCCATCTGCCTACACAACGCTTTGGTGCCCAATAGCAACTCTAACCTGTACTCTTTCCCCAGAAACATGTTTCCCCATGACAGCTCTCTTCTTGAGGTCACCCTCAACCCATCCCTCATGCCACACCAAATCTATCAGCAGACCCTGTCTGGTATTGGAACACTTAACCACCACCACCACCACCACACACCGGCATGTACACACACACACACACACACACACACACACTTTGCGCTTGCACTAGACAACAGTACCAGCTCCCACCCTTGCCCTATTCCAGTTCTCTTCACACACACCATATGTGCTAATAGAGCAGATAGAGCATAGGTCTTAGTTTGTTTTCTTTTTAATTTTAAAGAGGAAAAAAAATAAAATAACAACAAACACAAAAACAATAGAAATGGTACAGCATAGGTTTTTTGTTGTTGTTGTTGTTTGGTACCGGGAATCGAAATCATGTCCTCAGGCTTGCCAGGCAAATGCTTATGCTGCTGAGCTACATCCTTGGCCACTATAGATTTTATTTTATTATTATTATTTTTTTTTTTTTTTGGTTTTTCTCCGGTACTGGGAACCGAACTCACGACCTTGCGCTTGCCAGGCAGGCGCTTTTTGCTGATGAGCTAAATCCCCAGCCCCTACTATAGATTTTAAAAGGGCATTCTCATTTTAAAAAAATACTTGGGAAGATGCAAATAATTTGAATTCACCTAAAATTCAATAGTGGAGAGGTACTAGAGTGTAACACTAGAGCAAGGCTACCAATTTCTTCCATCTCTTAAAAATTATGGAATTCTTTTTTGTTTGTTTAGGTTTTATTCATTTTACTTCTCTTGTATAAAAACCGTATTTTGTAGCTACTTCTGGAGACAAAGTTTAGTGTGAGTTTTTACAAGATGATCAGTGAATTCCTGGTAGGAAGACAGTAAACACAATCTCTTTCCAGAGGTCAGGGGTCAGGTAGCTTATAGGTCTTAGAGATGGCATCAAAGGTGACCTTGGTAACTGCCAGGTGTAGTGGTGCATGCCTGTAATCCCAGCACGCACTCAGGAGGCTGAGGCAGGAGGATCACTGCAAGTTCAAGGCCAGCCTAGGCTACAAAGTGAGTTCCAGCCCAAACTGCATAATGACAAAAAGAAAAAAAAAAAAGGAGGACCTTGGCAAAGGGGCCTAGAATGGAGTACAAGCCAGTGGAAGAGGTGTAGAAGTCACCAAGGGCAGCCAGGAGCAGCAGCTTCCTGGGCACAGGGTCTGAGGTGATACCAGTGCCTGGGAGGGCAGGGGCAAAGCGCAGTGACACAAAGCAACAGAGGCCTGTCATTTTGTAAGGGTAGTGTGGGGCTTGCTGGCCTTGTTCGACTCAGCAGCTCTCCACATGGGAATAAAAGAACACTGCCATCTGAGTTCTGTTGTCCCCATGTGGGAAGGAGAATGTTTTCAATGGCACTACACACTGCAGTACACAGAAGATGCTGCCATGGCGAAAGCAATGAGGTTGAGGCAGAAGGATCACAAGTTCGAGTCCAGCCTGTGAAACTTAGTAACTTAGTGAGGTCCTGTCTCAAAATAAAATAATTTAAAAAGGACCAAGGATGTAGCTCAAGGTAAAGGCCCTAGGTTAAAGAAAATAAAAAATAGGAGGTAGCAATATGTGGCCGACCTGGGTGGTTGCCTACCTAATAGCCATTCCTCCCATTCATCCCAGCTAATGGACCCTGACCCTATCCATACATGGGGCCCCAGCCGCAGGTGTGGTTGGTCTGAGCTGGGATTGGTGGACCTTTTCTAGGGGTGTAGTCATAGGCACATGATGAAAGTCTGGCCATTTCTGGAGTCATGCTCCATTTCTGGAGCCAGGGTGAGAAGTCTACTGGGAGACTTTGGGGATGGATCTTAAACATTTTTTCTAAAGACACTGCATAGAGTTTGATTCCTGATACCACCCCAAAATTAAAAATTTTTTAAAAATAAAGGCACTGCAGAAAACCATCCTTCATCCACTAGTAGACATTGTTCATGTCTGCGTGGGATTCCTGGAATTGTGGGAATATGAAGGAAGTTGGCCAAAGATAATATACTGGGAATATGGGGGAAACCTGCTCCTTGATAGCATCTTTGAGCTATACTATTTACCAACCTTGTCACCTCTCTAGAAATTACTCCAGATAAAATAAGTCACCTCACTGAAATATGCATCACACAATCATTCAGCATCATTTTTTCCTTGTCATACTCCATAAAAAGTATCCCATCTATTTGTACTTTCTTTTTACTAATTAATTAAAGATAATTCTCTGAAATATAATTCACTTACAGTTTTAATCTCTAAATTGGCTGATTGGTCATCCACTTAAAGGTAAGAAATAATTTTCTTCTATATAATACTCCATTCCTACAGCGTGAGTTGTATTAACAATTGCTACTCGGCACATGCTTGGTTATAGACAGTTATCTCCTGAGTTGCCAAAAACATTTTCAAGCAAAATTTGAACTTTTAAATTTATTGTATAATTTTTTTCTTACTGTTCTTATTAGTTTTTAAATAAGAATCTACTATAAAACAACTTACATACCATCATTTTGAGGCCAGGGGCCTTACTCTTACAGTTTTTAAATAAGAATTTACTATAAAACAACTTACATACCATCATTTTGAGGCAAAATTAAAGCCTCAATTTCCTTTAGAAACTAGACTGAGATTCATTATTAAAGTGATTTTTGGGAGTCTTTTGGTGATTTGCTTATGCAGAACTTTAAAAAATTTGTTTATGTGACTAAGTTATAATACCAGCTAATAAAATGATTAACCTAGTCTAAAGGATAAAGGTAAATAAATAAATAATTACCTTACTGGGTAGCTACTTTGAGTATTCTGGTACTTTCCAGCCAAAACATCCCACTGAAGTCCGCATATGGAAGAAAAACAAGGTAGGGGAAACTAGTCTGATACGCTTGCATGACAGTTCTCTCCCTGCCCTGGCTGCCTGCCAAATGCTGAGCTGTTTCATCCATAAGAAATAAACTTCCCGCTGGCTTGAAACCTTATATTTGAGGATCCCTGTGTTACAGCACCTTAGCCTATACTCGACCAGTTTTAAAAAGGAGAGATTAGGGATGTAACTTAGTGGTAGATCACTTGCCTGGTATATGCAAGGCCCTAGGTTCAGTCCCCAGCACTCTAAAATAATGGGGAGGGTTGGCCATGTCACACAGCACTCCTCCCCAGACAAGCTGACCCAGCATGGACACCCAGGAGAACAACCTGCTGGCCACATCTCAGTGCTCAGTTAGTACTGTTACTACCCCATGTCAATTTTTTTTAAAATACACATTTTACACATCTCTAAAAGTGCTCCTATGTACTCAAGACCGACATACAAAGGGGGCACTGATGAGCACCCTGTAACCGTCGAACCTATCATTGGAACTGGGATTGAAGAAGACGGAGTCCATCTGTACTCCTGTCTGTCTCAGGGACATTTCTGGTTTCAGGAAGACCTCACGGGACCTCCCCCCCCCCAGCACAGGTGAGCAAGGTGAGCTGGCCCTTCTGTCCTGCAAGCAGATGATGAGTGTGACACAAGACCAGTTCTGCTGGCTCCACTTGGATCCCTGAGACCATGAAACTGCAGTACCAGCCCTGACCTGCACACCTCCAGACTTATGAGGAAAAGAAAGAAGCCTCGTCCTTATGCAAGTTATCATTGCTCTAGACATTTCCACTATTCAGGTATTCCCACTACTAGCATAACGTGCTTCCTACTCAAAACTCAGCTGCCGCGTGCTGCATGCTCACAAAGCACTGCACAGCCATGTTGTCTTCATGCCAGTCAACTAGAGGAAGCAAGGCAGGGCCAGGTTTCAAAGCTGCTCCTGAGGTGGGGCCCTTCACCTATCTGAGCCTCAGCTACCTGCCATGTAAGGTAGAGATAATAGGACTTTGTCCAGACTGGTCAGGCCCAGCCTGCACACATTTACCTGTCCTGTTTTTTGTTTTGGTCTGGTTTTTGACACAGGGTGGACAAGGCTGGCCTTGAACTCCTGGCCTCAAACAATCCTCTTTCTTCTACCTCCTGAGTAACTGAGACCACAGGTGAGTAGCACCCTACCCAGCTTGCCCTATTACTTTTCCTAATATAATACCTGAGTCAGACATAGTCTAAGCAGCTTATGTGATGGTGGCTTGGAAAAG